CAAATGGCTAGAATGCACTTGCTGTGATGTTTATTTAATGTAAAATAGATGTTTGCTAACTGAATTAAAAAAAATAGTCACAGAACTATCTTGGGGACTATTTGTGTATTCGACATTGTCACATTGGCAACGCTTAACATTGTGGTTTCGTTCTGAATGGCCTCGGTGTTTTACAGATTAACAGAATAGCGTACCACAAACAGAACATGTGTTGACATCAGTTTTATGCCATTTCATGTTTTGAAAAGCTACTTCACGTATATACTTCAGGATCTTAAATAGTTTTTGTACCAGTTGCTCTGCTCTGCTTCTATTGACATCTTGCGAGTTCATTCCAATTGTTGTATGGCTTAAAATTCCTTCTCCGGTCGACAAATAGCACAGCTTTGTTTATGTATGTCAGTTTTGCCTGTTTCTGTTTCGTTTAACTTCTGACGTCGTTAAGAAAACGTCACTACATTTAAATTTACTTAGCTCAATTGACTGTGTGGGTTGCAATGTGCCATGCAAAGTAGTTAACGTGTTCTTATGATTTATCCAAATATCGACAACAATTTGCATTATATGGTGACTGATATCCAACAAGGAAATACTGCATTAATTACAAACTAAGATAAATTTCATTATCGATGATTAAAATGCCTATCTTAGTTTTGAAACCTTTTCCAATAAAAAAAACATTGTAACCTCCAAACATGGATAATTTTATTGTCGACCAATGGGACAATTAGAGCGTCTGTAAGACATTTGTTTATCAAGATATAACGTGCACTCGACGGAACAGAAGTTTTTTTCTGAGTTGCGTGCGCAGGTAATGCAGGCTATTAGTGTCATTGAATCAAATTTAATGATCTCGTTCTATTTGCTAGACATGATCATACATATTTTCGTTTGAGGCTAACGTCCTCGTTAAAGATAGGAAGTAGATCGATCACCCTCCAACTTTAAAAAGAAAAGTGTTTATTCTTATGCAGCACAAATCCCAGGAACACGTAAAACAAGGCGTGTGTGTGCTTCCTTTACTTTATTTCAAACACTATCTTTTTGAATAAAATTTCCCTCTATCTCAAAGGGTTAAAGGTTTTATTTAGGCTGTCCAAGGTTTAGAAACCCAACAGCATATGATAAAAACGATCCTGTCACATCTGTGTCACAAAATGGGGTATGCAGCTCTAAAAACAAAATATTTCTGTGAAAGAGTTTGAGGATAAGAGTTCCAGGTAAAGCTTCATGTTGATAAAAATAATTTAAACGACGGAATATAAGTATATGTGTACATAATATACCCGATATCTGTCGATACCATACCACAACGGTCGTAGAACCAAACTGGAAAGGGACAGAACTGGGGTTGGCCCTCAGATGCGAAGTGATATCTCAATAGAGATGTCGTTCCTTACACCCACTTTTTGTAAATGTAAGTGTCAGAAAATGACAAATCTGGGTAGAGATTGCTGTAACAGGGTAATGGACGATGCATATCGTAGTTCACAACAATCGGTTTTAAATAAGAACTTTGAAAATACAATAGGGCAATGGTAAAATGTTCTAAAACAATCCTGAGTATTCGTGTCGCTTACACACTTTCGGTGTGGGATTCCGGGAATGGTTATTAAAATTATTTCAATGCAAATCGACAAGGTACATTTCAAAACTAGCGCCATACCAAGTGTAACCGTCTGTCTGTGTGCACGGACGACCCCGCAGGTAGGGCGTAAGAATTGTACCTGCTGCCCCCATTGCATGATCGTTAGAGAATAAATGTGGGATCTTATCTTTTCTCTTCTTTCTAAACAACTTTCTTCTTCCTAATGTCCCTTGATAATGCCTCACTTTTGACCTTTAGTTGAGAGTTCGCCCCTGTGAGGAAGGCTTTGGGTTATGTCCCCTGGCCGAGACATACCAGAGTCTGTAATAATGGTAGTTTCTACTCCTGCTTAACGCTCAGGAGTTGGGCGACTTGTTCGCCCGTTGTCAGTATAATGTAACCGGGCGGGGTGTCCTGCTGGGAGTCTTCGGAAGTATGTTTCCGTGAAGTAGTACTATAAAGTCGGCATTAGTTCCGCGCTATCACAAGGAGAAAAACGCGAACATATCGCCGCCTTCCAAAACACACACGCATGCATCTTGCACACAGGGGAGACTGTCCTTAAATGACAATAGCTGTTGATAAGACGTTAAACAATACTAAACTAAACCAAACCAACCTAATTGTCCGTTTAACTTTTGTAAAGGCGCACATGTAGGTGTTGTCTGCATACGTAATAATCGCCACTGTTTCCTTTTCTTGGAATACCTTATTTTTCCTACAGTCGCATTCTTGACTTTCTCTGACTTAAGCAAGAGGTGTTTTTCAGATTTAGACAGACATAGATGATTTAAATGTAAATAATGAACAGAACAAAAAATGATATGTAGGACATTTTGAGCTATTTATTTGTGTTTTGTTTTTGGAAACCGGAGGAGTTTGAGCCTTAATTCCGCAAAAATACAATTATTTTCTTCACATGCTAACATTGTTATGCCTTGAAATTGTCGTGCCATGAATATTAGAAATGTTTATTGGGAAAATGTGTTCTCTCCGTAGTTTGATAAGAGCTAATATTTTACAAAAAAAACCTAAACAATAGGCAGTAGAATACCGTGTTGTTATTGTGTCCAGTTCAGATGAATATGATATGGTTTATCTTGCATAATAAACATTTGCAACAAAGCAGATGTTTTTTTAGTAAACTCCTTTACAAGTAAAATGCATGATAAAATATTTGAATTCTATTTTAAATCTTTTCAAAATTTCATCATTCTGTACGTTTAAATTTCAAATCCAATGAATAAGGTTCCCCGGCGTACGAAATGGGTATCATAGGAAGCAAGGCTTTTTCTATTACCCGTATTAAACACGGTGTTTCACTGACATCTGTGCGTATCATGGTTTAATTTAAGTCAGTACGGCTTGATTGTCCGAACACCTATCTCATGTCTATCGTAGCCGAGCACCCACTCACTGTCTGGTGATGAGTCAAGGCGTAGAAAATGTTGAAGTAAAAATAAAAACGTTAGATGTGATAGCAAGTGTCAAAGAAATTATCACCATTAAGTGAACTTGAGCTTCTAACAGGTGTGTGCAGATTTCCCAAACCACGTGTATCTTCTCGCCGCTTGTTTACATACTACGTCACCAGCAGGCGAGCTATTTATGAAGACCTGATTAGTTTACTCCTCTGAGGTTACCGGGATAAAAGGTTTTTTTATCACTTAACACGATAATTGTGCATACCGTCTCTTTGAATGCGTTTACATACACTAATCAATAAATGACCTCGAGTCCGCCCCCGCACGCGTTCCCTCAACAAGGTGGCGCTCTTCTGTAGGTGTCTGTTGCACCCTTTTGATCGTGTAAACGATGTATACACACATCCTGTTTCCGTTTGGCTGTTCCATGTCGTTCACAACTCTATGTTTCTTCATAACTTTCAGTCTTGTAAAAAACCTTCTGGTCACTTATACATGTTCAGTGGCATGCTCAACAGCCTTCTGTTTTGTAATTCAAGTCGTGTTCAAACCATATGTTCTTCATATGGCTGTTCTTTGCCCTGTTCAACAACCCAATGTTGGTACGAGTGTTCAATATTGAGTTCAACACTCCTCTGTCTCCATATGGTTGTTCGATGTCGTGTTCAACACCCCTATGTTTGTATGGTTGTTCAGTGTCGTGTTCAGCACCCCTATGTTTGTATGGTTGTTCAGTGTCGTGTTCACCATCCCTATGTTTGTATGGTTGTTCAGTGTCGTGTTCAACACCCCTATGTTTGAATGGTTCAATGTCGTGTTCACCATCCCTATGTTTGTATGGTTGTTCAGTGTCGTGTTCAACACCCCTATGTTTGTATGGTTGTTCAATGTTGTGTTAAAAACCCTTTGTTTGTATGGCTGTTCAATGTTGTGTTAAACACCCCTATGTTTGTATGGCTGTTCCATGTTGTGTTAAACATCCCTATGTTTGTATGGTAGTTCAGTGTCGTGTTCAACACCCCTATGTTTGTATGGCTGTTCAATGTTGTGTTAAACACCCCTATGTTTGTATGGCTGTTCAATGTTGTGTTCAACACCCTTTGTTTGTATGGCTGTTCAATGTTGTGTTAAACACCCCTGTGTTTGTATGGCTGTTCAATGTTGTGTTAAACACCCCTTTGTGTTTTAGGGCTGTTCCCGATCGTGGTTAACACCCCTATGCTGGTATGGTAGCTCAATCTGATGTTCAACATCCCTTTATTTGAATGGCCGTTTAATGTTGTGTTCAACACCCCTATGTTGTTATGGGTGTATAGTCTTGTGTTCAACACCCCTATGTTTGTATGGCTGTTCAATGTTGTGTTCAACACCCCTATGTTTGTATGGCTGTTCAATGTTGTGTTCAACACCCCTATGTTTGTATGGCTGTTTCATGTCGTGTTCACCATCCCTATATTTGTATGGCTGTTTAATATTGCGTTTAACACCCCTATATTTGTATGGCTGTTTAATGCTGTGTTATAAGTGTTATGTACTAAAGATTTTCCATAATGTACCGGATTTGGAACGGCTATTTCATTTTTAGCATTTACAGTTATGATGTTTTATTTTCGAACGATTTCTCCAGTACGCGTGAAGCATATTATGTAAATGTACGTATATCTGATGTACATGACCGGAAGTTGATTTCTGCGAAAAAATCCGTTCGTAAAACTTCAGAAAATTATGCCTTTTGTATGTAGCACAAACAATTAACAAAAGTCGTATATATGCCGTGAAGGACGACTTGCAGTAAGACAATTGTCACCATTATGTAATATTCTAAATGGTAACGAAGTCTGGATGCACAGGCAGTCTTCGTTCCCTATGTATTGCAAACACACCATGGGAACGAGGATTGTGAGGCAGTTGTACTCACAATGTTAACGACAATGACGATACAGTTGTTGTCACCATGGTAACAAAGATAATGGGGGATCAGTACTCACCAAGGGAACAAAGATGTTGAGGTAGAGACAGTCCTCGTCCTCGTTCCAGAAGTCGGGATAATGTTGGTGGACATATTGGAAGTCGTGCATCTGTGGACAGGCAGGAGGAAGCTCAAGAGTGTCAAGAACACTCTTCCAGGGACGGGGCCGCTGAGGACGCTAAAAAGAAACAACAGTTTAAACAACACAGAATAATGTAGAAATGTTATATTAAGGATCCATGTCTCGTGTCGGCATTACACTAGACAAAAATCATATATGCAGTAACAAGCCCTTAACTCATTCACCCCTATATAAATTTCAAGTAGACTTGCCATTTCTTGGATTTGGTATGATTCAAATGTATTTCGGTTCGGCTGTAGCTCGACACAAAGCATGCGTACAGCCGTTGATGATGTAGCTCAGTTGTTTAAAGTGACGTTGTAATAATTGAACGGTTAGGGTCGAATCTCGGCCTAACCTGTTGCATTTTTACTATCAGAACACTGTTGTTTATTAAGGGGATAGTACGTTGTTTTGAGTGGGTATACTGGCGATAAGAACATGAAATTTAGTTTGAAGTCGAGACCGATAGGTCGAGAGTTTAAACCAAATGTCATGTTCTAATCGCCAGTATAGACACGAAAAACAATGTACTAATATACTACGCTAATATGTTTAGAAACATTGTATTTACTTGTACAAAAGTACGTAGTAAAGTACTCTGTGACCTGAACTAGCGATGTATCAATCTGCAGCGGACTGACCAATCGGAAAGAAGCTTTCACAAGTCGGTCATTTGGCCCCGCCCATAATGACGAGCGTTCGATCTGTGTGTTGCCGAGGCGGAATATTTGGATTGTTCGTGAACGTCCTGTTACCAAAGTTTATACGACACATTTGGATTGATATTGACCAATTTCTTACAATTCAATGCCAGTATGCATACCAATCTGTGCTCATCGACAAAATCGGTAACTATTGTAAAGATTTGTGAAGAGTTTTGTGTAAATTCATACGACACATGCGAAATGTTTCATTTGATTTCGGATCTAAATAGATGCCTTCACACGGATGGAACGAACGTTTCAGTTATAAATGGAGGTAATAATAAGGAATGTTTCTTTTTACTTTTTAATTCATTCAACAAATACATTTCATCGGTCTTTTCTGTTCTGTTACCTGCTAGCCTTATCAGCGGGATTTCGCTAAGAGGCGAGCTGGACGCCATGTTGTTTTGGTTAGAAACGGGGCGTGGCTTAAGTGCGATGAGAGGAGCTTAATCAATCGCAGATTAGAACATGGTCCATATCCAATCAAAACACGCGTTGCAAACGAACCGTGTTGAAATTCTTGATGATATTTTCGTCTTGATGTATTTTTTTTTATTCATAACAGTTCCACGAAGTATGGGTTTATTTCCAGAGAAGATTCATTAAAGCTATAGTCATGACTGTGAAGAAGTTTCCAATTAATAGTTACAGCTTTTAACAGTCGCACGGGATTCCTCAATATCAAAACATACGGGCATGCAAATTAATTGGTACAAATTAATCGGTCACAATAAACGGTACCTTTTCTTTCAATGACCGATTTTATTGGCTCCTCATTGTTAGGTTGTCTGCTTCATTTAAACATACATTATTGACATTAAAGAGTCGCAGGTGCTTACGACTTAACGGGAAGGGCCCAGTCAGTTATACGAACTTGTGCCCACTTCCTTTGACTGTTAAATGTCAATGAATTATGTTTGAATGAAACGGTCAATCTTTACAATGAAGAACCATTAAAATTTAACATTGAAAAAAAAGATGTTTCATTGTGATGCCAGAATAGAATTGGCAGTAAACTTGCATTGGCGGAATATTGAAGTAGGGTCAACAAGCATTGTTAAACTGTGTTTAATGGCATTATCAACTCGGAGTATAGCTGATCCATTTTGTAGAAGAAATTACCTGATATGTACGTTTAAAGAAGAAACAAATTCGTCGTAATACGTAATCTGTGCATCCGTTGCCATATAATTCGGACTCCTGAACCTCACGTATGTAACGAGAACTCGTTTGAAATGTCAATACATCATGTATACGTCTAGTGAAATGTGAAAGCCGTATTACTCTGGAAAGTTCCTAACAAAAACTAACGTCATAACGGTTTAATGCAGATTCCCGGACATTGTTGCGATGATTGAGTTAGAGTACAACGCTGTCACACGAGACACGGTACACGCCATTATCTATAGCCGATGTTCGCTGCGTAATGGGGTGAGCGTCACTGACAGTGAACGAAGTAATTCATTTCAAAGCCATACTATAGTATTAATGGCCGTTGAACAAAACGCACTATAACATGCATTACAATTTTATATTACGTCTTACTTTCTAGCTTGTTGGTAATGATGTCATTTTAAACTTGATCAGACAAGCGCGATTTGGCTGTATACCCTGAGTAAATATACAACACAGTTTTATACATAGATAAATGCTCAGTCCGATCTATCACTCTGAACTGGCGCTTTAACAGTTACTGCGCTCAAAGCGTCTCCGACGTTCGTGTACATCCGTATGGAGGTTTGCGATTCTCTATTTCAAACTATTGTTCTGAAACTAGAAATAAAAGCATGGAAATGATGCAGTTCCTTGAGGTTATATACAAATAATCGATAAAACATAGGTTCATTATAAAACAGTTCAAATAGCTCCTCATATTTCATCTCTTTGTTGAGTTCTGTAGCAAGATTTCCAGCATAGCTATGGGACAAACTGTGCCTACCTCGTCGTCGACTTGGTTTTGTTTTCATATGAAATTGCATTTAGAGATGAGTGTATCAGGACAGGTTTATATCGAAGACGTTGAATTTTTTAAGAACAAATGTATTAACCACGTCGATTGTATTTATTCCCATAAACTTGAAATCAAAGAAAATGCAGACTCTTCTACATATATAGTTAATAGAGGTTACACAACGAGTGGTAGTGAATATGGTATTTATTTCACTCGAGTTAGTTAATTTTCAAAAGTTACAAAAGACACGAGCTTTAGCGAGTGTCTTTCTGTAACTTTTGAAAATTAACTAACGAGAGTGAAATAAATACCATACTCAACAACCACGAGTCGTGTGATCTGTTTCTACCACAATCTCTTGATCAGTCGGAAATAACATACACACATGTGTTTGTTGACAAGGCTGGCGTAGTGATATGGCCCATATGTAAAAAGTCACTCATTACTATTCAAAAACAACTTCTTTTTTAGAAATTTAATAATTGTCATAATTAATGTTTAGGCAACAACTTCATGAAAAAGTATAATAGATGAACGACTATATTGAGAGTAGCAGTATTGCATTAATTTATATAAATTAACCACGTACGGACTATAGGCGTGTAAGCATATCGTACGAAGTCTGCCTCCCGCCAAGTGACGAAGACGAACTCATCGCTGTCAATGTCCAAAACCATAGGCCTACGTTTCTTCTTGACGGTTCTCTGGTTGACGTTTATAGTGAAAGTTCAGCCGTAGTCAGGCCGTCCAAATAGCGATAACGGGACGTTGGTAGAACGAAATATTTTCCGACACTGTGACAGATCTTGTTTTGGTTTCACGACCTGGACACGCGACAGTGTGACGTCGAAACGATATCGAGCGTCTGTAGCAATTTTGCCTGAAACTAGTCATCAAATCTTTAAGTATCATCTTCTTTTAATATTGCCTTAATAACCCCATTTTCCGCATAACCTCACAAAGTCACCAACATTTGTCGGATGTTGATAGCAGACGACATAAACAAAACTTGGCAAAATGCGCGTGGAAAAAGTCGTCCCGGTCAAAGTTCATCTTCTCGACCAATCAAAACTCTTGAAGGTCATATACCACGTGTGGTATATAACTGCTATTTATCTAACAGTCTGCGTGTTTATACAATGATCTGAGAGTGGAATAACACAGCGTATTGTGGTAGAAATACATTTATACATGTTTGTTTCATATATTTAATTTGGCAAGCAGGTTTCTAACGATTTCTAATTTCCCGATCACAAACAATTTTCCCTTTCTTGTTAGTACCATCTCCATTTGCTCCACCTACTGTGTTAATGCATAAGTCACAATTAAAGCGGAGCCCGGGCGGCGTGTGCGATTTCTAGGCATCGGCCAGCGTGTAGAGGTCGGCGAAAGATCGTGCGATATGGCGGTGACAGTCACAATTAAAAGTACCCCGTACGCTGCCATGACGGGGCCCGGGGGGACGCCGACCGGCGATCGGCCAACTTTCCTGGAAATGGGGTCGAATTCTTGGCCTGTTTATCGGCCGGTGTCCGGCAGGCACTCGTCCGGTGCCCTGCTTATGTCCTTGCGATACCCCTGCGGTGCCCTGCCGGACATCGGCTAGGCATCGACTGATTTATTGGCGATCAGTTTGCGATGCGAAACGCCGCACTAGGTTTTAAGTCCGAGTTAAAAGTACCTCGATGCCCGCCCGATGCCAAAAAATGACCCGGCAGCCGCAAGGAGTCCCGTGGGGCCCCGGCCGAAAATGCCTAGAAATTCGCCGCAAACAAATCGCAAACCCATCGCAAGCCAATTGTGACTGGGGTATTACATGTCAAAATGTGTTCTTTATTCGAGAGCTTACTCGAATATCACGGTTTTCGTGACAGATGTCTTATGACGACGTATGCAAGGTTTAACGCAGGTTTTTTAAGATATGGAGGTTGATGAAGAATATGGGCAATGTGTATGATAGCCATCATGTCCTTATTTGGAAATATTCACAAGTGTGAGTCCTGTTGTCTTTATGTACTTAACCAAGTATGAGTCCTGTTGTCTTTATGTACTTAACCGAGTGTGAGTCCTGTTGTCTTTATGCACTTAACCAAGCATGAGTCATGTTGTCTTTATGTACTCAACCAAGTGTGAGTCATGTTGTCTTTATGTACTTAACCAAGTGTGAGTCCTGTTGTCTTTATGCACTTAACCAAGTGTGAGTCCTGTTGTCTTTATGTACTTAACCAAGTATGAGTCCTGTTGTCTTTATGTACTTAACCAAGTATGAGTCCTGTTGTCTTTATGTACTTAACCAAGTATGAGTCCTGTTGTCTTTATGTACTTAACCAAGTATGAGTCCTGTTGTCTTTATGTACTTAACCAAGTATGAGTCCTGTTGTCTTTATGTACTTAAC